AAAGACATGCTGAGGAAGATTTTCCTTATATATGTTGGCTCTAGGCTCTATTTTTATTTTAAATATCATATCTCTTTCCACCGCTTTGCTGATGACATTCATAAAAAAAGAAAAAGTCTTGGACGCAGTGTTTTCAGTGGGAGAAACGTTTCATCACTCATCCAAGTGATGTTGGATCCCAAAAGGTTGAACAGAATCAGCTTTTTGGGATTTACTTACCTGGATGACTGAGCATGCATGAAGACAGCTCTGTGAAACTGTTATCTGACTGTGTTGCTGATATAAAAGTCTGGATGGACTCAAACTTCCTCCACCTTAACAACAGCAAAATGACCAATGCGTGATGGTCAGTGTGTGTGTGTAATTCTAAGAGCCGCATTAACTTTTTCCTGTGTTTACTTAGCTTGCATCCACACCTGGGGTCAAGTCCAACCGCCCATTAAAGGGGGCCTGTGTGGTGACAGAGTGGTACAGTGATTAGATCGGTCATCACACTCCAAAAGGCCAGGCTTGAGTTTCCTGGCCCCCTTTGTACCAGGTTTATTTGCTCTTTGTGGGGGTGCATGGACTTCCTCCCACAATCCATAATCAATCCATTTCACATACACACATACTGTGTGCCAGTGGCCTTCTGTCAGTACGAGCTGCCTAGTCGAATCTAAAAGTGGACATAAATTAAAACATGCCAAAGGATGTTCATCTCAGACCGCGCTGCCATAAAGCTTCTTGCATCTTTGCATACTTCATTTAATATCACATCCTCTACAGCGACAAAGTCAAATGACTCGATGCGTGCTTAATCCTCCAGGTAAGGAAAAAGGTTGATTCTGTTCATCTGGACGTAGCGAGAAACGTTTCGTCATCATGCAGTGACGTCTTCAGTCCCAGCTGACTGCAGGTGTCCCCAACCTTATAAACGGGGCATTTACACGATGACTCAAACCGGCACCGCTGACCTACAATGTGCTAATTGTCAAGACTGACCACTGATCAGCGATCAATGGTCTTTGATCAGTGGTTGTGATCGAGTTTATGGTTCACGGCTCAGCGCGTGAGTTCAATAAGGAAGATCGTTTTCATTTTTTACCGCGTGCCACTGCTCGGTGTGTGCGCGTGCAGCAGCGAAGGTGTCTCTCACGTCATCGTCACGTTTTCCAGGTGAATAAATTCTGTGTAATGACATGACAGCTGTCGTTACCTGCTAGCTACAGGCAAGGACTACGGCTGCCAGTCCCGCCGAGCTGACGTCAAACTTGTTGACGTCTCGTCGTTGTCTGCTCTCTGCTCTCGTACTCACCGATGTCGCCAAAGAAATAGGGCCGAGACTTCTCCGTGTCCATCCTCCGACTACTTCCCCGCAGAACGAGCTGGGCTCACATGAAACGCGGTTACGGCTGTTTGTAAACAGTCGCGTCCTCGCGCTCTACGTGCGGCAGGAGTCACGTGACAAAACCCGACCTCCGCGGGCATGTTGGACTTTGTAGTTTTTACCCCAAATGAAACCGTTTCACGCGTGGAGAGTGCAACTAATATTTATTCTAACTCAGGTTAAATAATATCCCAG